GACTGTCCCCAAAGAAAAAAAAAAAAAGAAAAAAGTGTACATGTTCGTTTACATCACTGTGTGACACAGACGAAATACTGAGCACAAACATCTCCTCACATCACATCCATCGCTGACAAGTCCTGAGAAACCGGAAACCACAAAAGTCACTAATAGTGTGAACTTGTGTAGCCAGAAGACGGGGGAAACCAACTGATAGAAGACTCTCTGGGGTTTGCACTTTGTGTCACCACAATCTCCATCTCTTCCTTTTCCTGTAAAATATCACAAAGTGATCACTAAACAGGAGGAAGATTTCACCCCGTTATGGTGACAACCCAAAATTTTAGATTCTCTCTTCTCCGACGTCCTCACATACTAGAGGATCGGCAGTCCTGCATTGTATGTGAGGAAGGAAGTGGGGGGTCCTCCCCCCCCCGAGGAATGAGGCTCTTCTAGAAGATTTATGGATAGAATGTGGAAAAGGTCAGAACCCCCGTCAGGTTTACTGCTATCCACGACTCCATTACAGAGATTTCCTCTGACTTCCTGTCCTGGGGACAACCTGTTACTAGACAGGAAGTGACTGAATCTCTCCAACGGTAACAGACACAAGTAAAAATCTGCTTCTCCTATTCTTTGGGACTGTCAGATTTTTTTTTGTCTAGTGCTGCTTTTTCCCCTCACTTCCTGCCTGGTAAAATGTCCCCAAAACAGGAAGTGAATATAAATCTCTCTAATGCAGGGTTAGCCAAATTTTGACCCTCCAGCTTTGGTAAAGCTACAAATTAGGGATGCACTGATACCGAGTATTTGGGCGAGTACTCGCCCAAATGCTCCGATACCTAGCACGAGCACTTCCTGTATCAGGATGCCGGGCAGCTCGTCCTCATACGCTGCCCGGTTTCCTTATCGGCCAGGAAACGGCTCCATGTTCTCTTCGTCACTTGTGATGAGAGAGCATGGAGCCGACTTCCCGGCAAATCAGGAAGTCTGGTAGCGTGCAATGACGCGCTGCCCGGCTTCCCAATTGGTCAGAAAGCTGGCCAATCCGGAAGCCGTGTAATGACGCAGCGCCCGGCATTCGGATTGGCCGGGAAGCCGGCGTCATGCTCCCTCGTCATCTCATGAATCATAATATTATGAAACTGACCTAAAATCATTAGTTTGTATTGCTTTAGAAAAAAATGTGATCTGTCCCTTTAAGAAAAAGTATCGGTAATTGGTATCTGAGAGTACTTGATCAAAAGTATCTGTACTCGGTTTAAAAAAAAAAGTGGTATCGGTGCATCCCTACTACAAATTCCAACATGCATCTGTCTCCGTCACACATACCTGTGGCTGACAGTCTTGCAATGCCTCATGGGAATTGTAGTTCCACAACGACTGGAGGGCCAATAGTTGCCCCCCTCTGACCACAGGATTCCTGAAACAAACCTACTGAGAGATCCATGTACACTATTCAGCATCAACAACAACACTCAGCACATAGATCACCTGATCACAGCAGCCAATCAGCATTTACACCAAACGGTCGCTTGAAGCAGCAAAGCAAAATGTGATTCCCATCCGCACCCCATACATTGTAGAGATACCGTTACAAATCCAACAACAGAGGCCAGAACTCTGACAGGTCATCAGCTGTATGGCTATTTTCCGCCACCAGGTGGCGCGCAGCAAGCTCAGAGTATTGCAATCCGCCTTTCCTCCACCAGGTGGCGCCGTCAGGCTTCGGCGTAGTAATGGAAACCTTCACAACACTCTCCGGCTCCGCTCTTTCCATCCGACATGTAACCTCTCCACACCGAATGTAATATCCATCGTAAGACTCCCGCCCGGCTCCTCTGTGTGTTCCGTCACACGGTGACCGCATTCCTCCCGGTACATTCTTCTCTCCCCGACTAGCAGCTTCTCCACACAGACGACGCCTCTGCATGCGAGTCTCCGCCCACTTATACCGTCCGTCCCTTTGAGCCGAGTGCAAAATTAGTGGGCGGGGATTGGGGCTCTGGCGTGTTCTGATTGGCTGCACATCATTCCCCGCCCACTGACAGACCGAATACATTGGAGGAGACAAATCTGGAGCATATTTGCACTGCAACCAATCAGCTTCTCTGTCTCATTTTCAAATCGTACCTGAGCAAACTGGAGAGCGGTGCTGATTGGTTGCCATGGGCAACTGCTCCAGATTCTCTCTGCTCCTGTTTTGATAATTTCCTCCCATTGTATATAATCAGGAGATATGGATTCTGGGTTGGGAAGAGCCATTTCCGGTCTCCATAGCGGAGTGCAGTGTGATCAGTGACCCGATCTACATTATATTAGAAGTGATGAGCGTGATAGATAGATATACATGAACCCAACACACATTATATCCCCCTTATTAATGACCCGTCTTACCTGAGCCCGGCCTCTCCTCATGTGACCTCTCGTCATGTGACCCCTCTTAATATTTGTAAATCCTGAGCAATTTTCTTTTTAACTGACATAAGGGGTGTCGCTGTGTAGCTCAGTGGTGGTCAACTTTCAGAGTTTTGGATGTGCTACAGAAGGTGGTCAGAGACTGGGGACATGGTAAAGGAGATGGTCAGAGACTGGAGACATGGCACAGAAGATGGTCAGAGACTGGAGACATGGTACAGGAGATGGTCAGAGACTGGGGATATGGCGCAGGAGATGGTCAGAGACTGGGGACATGGCACAGGAGATGGTCAGAGACAGGGGACATGGCACAGAAGATGGTCAGAGACTGGAGACATGGTACAGGAGATGGTCAGAGACTGGGGACATGGCGCAGGAGATGGTCAGAGACTGGGGACATGGCGCAGGAGATGGTCAGAGACTGGGGACATGGCACAGGAGATGGTCAGAGACTGGAGACATGGTACAGGAGATGGTCAGAGACTGGGGACATGGCGCAGGAGATGGTCAGAGACTGGGGACATGACGCAGGGGATGGTCAGAGACTGGGGACATGGCGCAGGAGATGGTCAGAGACTGGGGACATGGTACAGGACATGGTTAAATAACCATAACAGAAATAATATGAAATGACAGAAACTCTTCTTGTTATTTATAGCATTTACAGATGTATGGACATGGGGTGCAGACCCCCTGGGACTCTTGTACAGAGGACCGCCATGCTTTAGTACTTTAGCTGTAATGTTGAATGTAATTTTTTTTTTCCACTTTAGGACTTCTGATCGTCCTCATCCTCCCGGTATCATCATCAGGAATCATGTACGTGCAGACCGGGTCAGACATCAGTGACTGTAATATGAAATGTCCAAACTCCAATGGTGTCCTAGAGCTGTACAGACAATGTGGAGGAAGAACAGAACCGCTACTGGACCTTCACTGTAACACTCTGTACACCAAACCCAGCAAGCCCAGATACTCTCTGGATACACAGAGCGGCTGCTGGAAGGTGACACGGGCCGGGAAGACGGACTCCTGTGTGTATAATACAGAGTTCAACAGCAACCCAACAAGACAACTTTCCTCCACAGACATCCGTATACTGGGTAAGAGTCCGTATACTGCGTCCCACTTCTCTCCACACCGCACTGTACTCTATGGGGAGAGACAAAGTGATGGACTTGTATAATGGAGGCCATTACACTGGGGGCTGTATGTGGGGGGCGGGGGTCACATAATTGGTGTTTACAAGAGCTAGCACTCTATTCCGTGTATCTGTGCCGGTGACACATGACTGATGGTGACTTCCCTCCTGATAATTCCAGATCCGGTTCTCATCTCCAACATGACCAGTAACGGGAGCCGGCTGGGTCAGGACATCGCTGTGAGCGTCCAGTACTCTGGAGAAGAGAGCGCTGTGACCTGGGAGGTGGACGGGGAGCCTCTTCCTGAGAGATACCGGCTGATAGATGACAATAGGACGCTGATTGTCCCCAGTGTGCAGAGAGACGACGCCGAGAGGACATTCCGGGTCAGGATCACAAACCCGGTCAGTGAGGAGACCCGGGACCACCGGCTGATCAATGACACAATGTTCATCCGAATGCTGGAAACAGAAGCTGTTAGTAAGTATGGAGGGATGTTATACCGGGACATGTATCCGTGTGATAGACCGAGGTCAGGCGTCTCCTCTCCTCCGGGGGGTCATAGTGTGAGTGAGAACAATGTTACTTGTTGGGATCAGAGTGAACCTTATATTAAAATAAAGGAAAATATCTTGCTTGAAGCAGCAGTACTTGGCATTGGCTTTGCTCTGACTTGAAGCCCTGGAAACCCCTCCCACTACCCAGAAGATTCGGTGACCAATAGAGCCTCTAGGATGCCTGAGACTATGAGATGGGGTACGGTTGCTTATATCACAGCCCAATCACGCTGGACATGTGCGTCTATAAGAGTCTGTGTGGACGGGTTCTGGGCTTGTGTTGGTGGCATCGGCTTGAGAACATTCCGAATTTATTGAAAGACGCATCTGACCTGCAGTGACCCTCCCTCTGACCTGCAGTGACCCTCCCTCTGACCTGCAGTGACCCTCCCTCTGACCTGCAGTGACCCTCCCTCTGACCTGCAGTGACCCTCCCTCTGACCTGCAGTGACCCTCCTTCTGACCTGCAGTGACCCTCCCTCTGACCTGCAGTGACCCTCCCTCTGACCTGCTTCAGGCAGCTTTTCTATTCCTATAGACTTGTATGGCAATGCAAAACCTGCATGAGGCGAATGTAAGCACAAGACCCAAAGTTACATTCCAAACCCAACTGATAATCGCCCCCTAACATGGCGTCCTGTGGGTGTAATAGACCTGTCCGGGGTCTCAGATCTTCAGCTACGGCTGTAGCGGAGTGTCAGGCCTCCCAGCTGCTGAAAACTGTCCGGTGTACTGGGAACACCACCCGCACCATTTCAACAGATAAGCTTGCTACTCCCGGCTCCACCCACTGCAGTGCTCTGTGCTCATTGGATGTTCTTTTATGTGCTCGTTTACAGCGTCTGATTCTTCTCGGAGACACCGGGGAGCGTTCGGTGGTGCTGGGGCTGTCGCAGTAATATTGATATTCCTCATTATGTATTGGGTAAGTCATGTTTACATCTTTCTGTATTCATTGATTTATATGGGCATGATTCTTAAGGTGCCCATACACCTGGCGATTATCGTACGATAATCACGGGGAAATCCCACGATCGTACGATAATTGCAAGGTGTATGGAAGGCGTGCGACCGTCGTTTCTACTGTGCGGTCGCACGACTTTTGTCTAACGAGCATGTTTGAAAACCAGCTGAGAATCGTACGATTTTCCGCTGGTTTGTGGCGTGCTCGTAAGATAAATGCCGCACGGGCCGTTGTGCGCAAGCGCACACTGCCCGCTCAGCATTGTGGTCATTGGAAACCCGCCCCTCAGGGGGGCGGGCTTGCAATGATCGCAAGTACGATCTGCCTGCCCAAGATGGGCAGATCATTGGTGCCAAATGTTTACAAACTGCGCCTGTATCCCCGACCAACTCCTGGAGGAACCCCGATTGAGAATGGGCGTCTCTGTTTCTTCCTATGAGCGAGCATTTCATGCGATCAGGTGGAACCTTTTGCCCGATGCAACACCAGCTGTAGATTCGCCGGCATTGACCGTCCCACATTCCGTGTCAGAAGCCAATCAGAGACTGTCGAGGTCGTTTACAGTTAAAGGTTATCCAAACCTAAAAACCAAAAATGTGATATATTGCAGCTCACCCGTCATTAGATGTGCCGGCTGCCTTCGTTTTCTTTATTCAGGCTAAGAACAAGCGCAGAAAGTTCCTGTTGATCCCGCCAGAAATGCACTTCTGTGAGCTGAAAGCACAAACAATCTAATCTTCCATATGTATACTACCAATCTCCCCCTCCCCCCATGTATCGGAGATGAAAAGAGGAAGGCATAGGTGTAATCCAGCCTGGGTGACAAACATGGCTTCCTCCATCCATAGTGCAGTGTAGGGATGCACTGATACTGCTTTTTCGGTATTACGTACGAGTACAGACGCCGATACCGAGTACCGATACCGAGTACCGATACTGGGGCTTCCGCTTGCATGGAGCCGGCTTCCCGGACAATCAGGAAGCCGAGTGGTAATGACATACCGCCCGGCTTCCTAATTGCCCAGGAAGCCGGCTCCATGTTGTTTGGCGGCTTGATTGTGATTGACCGGAAAACCGGCTTTCCAGCCAATCAGCATGGAGCCGGCTTCCCAGCCAATCAGAAAGCTGGGCGGCGAATAATGACTCGCCACCCTGCTTCCTGATTGACCAGGAAGCCGGCTCCATGCTGATTGACTGAAAAAAAGGCTTCCCGGGGCAATCAGAAAGCCGGGAGGCGGGTCATTAGTCGCCGCCCAGCTTCCTGATCGCTGGGTAAGCTGGCTCCATGTTCCCCTACGGCATTGCAAGTTCCGGTATCAGGGAAGGTATCGGAGCATTTGGGCCAGTACGAGTACTGGCTCAAATACTCTGTATCGGCACCGATACCAATACTAGTGTCGGTGCATCCCTACCGCAGTGAGTTAGTGTTGTCATCCTAGGACAGGAAGTGTGTTACTGGCAGGATCACCGGGTGCAAATAAAGGGAAAAGGAGCCTGAAAAAGAGAAAACGAATGCAGCCGCCTCATCTAATAACTCCGATGCAATAGATGACATGTTTGTTTTCCAGATTAGATACAATGTAACGCTTACTGAAGGAAAGACAAAGACAAATCCATTTCTGCTTGTTGCTCTGCACAATATTTCATCACCTCGAAGAGTCAATCTATTGGACGGGCTGGAAATGTGGTCCTGAGGGCTAAATGAGGGAAAACAATCAATTCCTCCATCCAGGAAAAACAGACGCAGAGCACAATTACAGTACTAAAAAAGTGTTTTGTGTTTTTCTAATTTTCCATGAAAACCTTGAGAACTGTTTCTGATCAAATTATTTTATAGCGCAGAACCCGGAATAAATGTTTTATAAATCAGAGATACAATTTTAACTAGGGATGCGCCGATACCGGTATTTTTGTACCGATAATCTTTTTCTGGTACTCGCCGATACCAATAACCGATGCCGGAAGTCCCATTCAGGAAGCCAGGTGGCGTGTAAAGACTCACCACCCGGCTTCCCGCTTAAAGGAGAACTATGAGGGGGGTGGGGAGGGGGCTTTTCACTCCCCTCATAGTTCTAGCCGACCTGTGACAATGAGACTGTCACAGGTCGGCTCAGTAGATCGGGAGGTGAGCCGTGACTTCTCGATCCTGTCACAGCTCTCTGCCGCGACAGGGGGAGGGGCTGGATTCCCCCCTCCCCGCTCCGATCTGCCAGCGCTGACTGGGTGAGCTGGGTGTGATGTAGAGCAGTAGTGTGTGGACCGGGGGGAGAGTTATGCGGAGAGCTGGGTGTGATGTAGAGCAGTAGTGTGTGGACCGGGGGGAGAGTTATGCGGAGAGCCGGGTGTGAGGTAGAGCAGTAGTGTGCGGACCGGGGGGAGAGTGGGGAGATTGATGCGGAGAGCTGGGTGTGAGGTTGAGCCGTAGTGTGCAGACCGGGGGGAGAGTTATGCGGAGAGCTGGGTGTGATGTAGAGCAGTAGTGGGCAGACCGGGGGGAGGTTTATGCGGAGAGCTGGGTGTGAGGTTGAGCCGTAGTGTGCAGACCGGGGGGAGAGTTATGCGGAGAGCTGGGTGTGATGTAGAGCAGTAGTGTGCGGACCGGGGGGAGAGTTATGCGGAGAGCTGGGTGTGATGTAGAGCAGTAGTGTGCGGACCGGGGGGAGAGTTATGCGGAGAGCCGGGTGTGAGGTAGAGCAGTAGTGTGCGGACCGGGGGGAGAGTTATGCGGAGAGCCGGGTGTGAGGTAGAGCAGTAGTGTGTGGACCGGGGGGAGAGTTATGCGGAGAGCCGGGTGTGAGGTAGAGCAGTAGTGTGCGGACCGGGGGGAGAGTTATGCGGAGAGCCGGGTGTGAGGTAGAGCAGTAGTGTGCGGACCGGGGGGAGAGTTATACGGAGAGCTGGGTGTGATGTAGAGCAGTAGTGTGCGGACCGGGGGGAGAGTTATGCGGAGAGCCGGGTGTGATGTAGAGCAGTAGTGTGCGGACCGGGGGGAGAGTTATGCGGAGAGCTGGGTGTGATGTAGAGCAGTAGTGTGTGGACCGGGGGGAGAGTTATGCGGAGAGCTGGGTGTGATGTAGAGCAGTAGTGTGTGGACCGGGGGGAGAGTTATGCGGAGAGCTGGGTGTGAGGTTGAGCCGTAGTGTGCGGACCGGGGGGAGAGTTATGCGGAGAGCTGGGTGTGATGTAGAGCAGTAGTGTGTGGACCGGGGGGAGAGTTATGCGGAGAGCTGGGTGTGATGTAGAGCAGTAGTGTGCGGACCGGGGGGAGAGTTATGCGGAGAGCTGGGTGTGATGTAGAGCAGTAGTGTGTGGACCGGGGGGAGAGTTATGCGGAGAGCTGGGTGTGATGTAGAGCAGTAGTGTGCGGACCGGGGGGAGAGTTATGCGGAGAGCCGGGTGTGAGGTAGAGCCGTAGTGTGCGGACCGGGGGGAGAGTTATGCGGAGAGCTGGGTGTGATGTAGAGCAGTAGTGTGTGGACCGGGGGGAGAGTTATGCGGAGAGCTGGGTGTGATGTAGAGCAGTAGTGTGCGGACCGGGGGGAGAGTTATGCGGAGAGCCGGGTGTGAGGTAGAGCAGTAGTGTGCGGACCGGGGGGAGAGTTATGCGGAGAGCTGGGTGTGATGTAGAGCAGTAGTGTGTGGACCGGGGGGAGAGTTATGCGGAGAGCTGGGTGTGATGTAGAGCAGTAGTGTGTGGACCGGGGGGAGAGTTATGCGGAGAGCTGGGTGTGATGTAGAGCAGTAGTGTGTGGACCGGGGGGAGAGTTATGCGGAGAGCTGGGTGTGATGTAGAGCAGTAGTGTGTGGACCGGGGGGAGAGTTATGCGGAGAGCTGGGTGTGATGTAGAGCAGTAGTGTGTGGACCGGGGGGAGAGTTATGCGGAGAGCTGGGTGTGATGTAGAGCAGTAGTGTGTGGACCGGGGGGAGAGTTATGCGGAGAGCTGGGTGTGATGTAGAGCAGTAGTGTGTGGACCGGGGGGAGAGTTATGCGGAGAGCTGGGTGTGATGTAGAGCAGTAGTGTGTGGACCGGGGGGAGAGTTATGCGGAGAGCTGGGTGTGATGTAGAGCAGTAGTGTGTGGACCGGGGGGAGAGTTATGCGGAGAGCTGGGTGTGATGTAGAGCAGTAGTGTGTGGACCGGGGGGAGAGTTATGCGGAGAGCTGGGTGTGATGTAGAGCAGTAGTGTGCGGACCGGGGGGAGAGTTATGCGGAGAGCCGGGTGTGAGGTAGAGCCGTAGTGTGCGGACCGGGGGGAGAGTTATGCGGAGAGCTGGGTGTGATGTAGAGCAGTAGTGTGTGGACCGGGGGGAGAGTTATGCGGAGAGCTGGGTGTGATGTAGAGCAGTAGTGTGCGGACCGGGGGGAGAGTTATGCGGAGAGCCGGGTGTGAGGTAGAGCAGTAGTGTGCGGACCGGGGGGAGAGTTATGCGGAGAGCTGGGTGTGATGTAGAGCAGTAGTGTGTGGACCGGGGGGAGAGTTATGCGGAGAGCTGGGTGTGATGTAGAGCAGTAGTGTGTGGACCGGGGGGAGAGTTATGCGGAGAGCTGGGTGTGATGTAGAGCAGTAGTGTGTGGACCGGGGGGAGAGTTATGCGGAGAGCTGGGTGTGATGTAGAGCAGTAGTGTGTGGACCGGGGGGAGAGTTATGCGGAGAGCTGGGTGTGATGTAGAGCAGTAGTGTGCGGACCGGGGGGAGAGTTATGCGGAGAGCTGGGTGTGATGTAGAGCAGTAGTGTGCGGACCGGGGGGAGAGTTATGCGGAGAGCCGGGTGTGATGTAGAGCAGTAGTGTGCAGATCAGGGTAGAATGTCAAGGAAGCCTGCAGTGCTCATGATGACTCACTAACCAGAGCGGGACCCTCAATTATGGGAAAGGGAAGCGAGGAGAGAGCAGTGATGTGAAGGTTATCACAGCCTGCAATACCGCTGGGCACCACTAGAGGGAGACTCACTCATACTT